ACTCTGTACTGAGATTATAAGTTATTTGATTGCAACTACAACTGTCATGTATTTTTACTTGTTCGTCCCTTAGACTATTCCTTTATTTTTAAACCAACTTCAAAAAAGGAGGAGGTTATGCGATAACGCTATTTACGGTATTTGTGGACTAATTTTCATGATTGTTTTTTTGTTCGAAAGGGGGTACCTCCATAGTGGTCCCACTTAATTTTGAAGAAAATCATCCACCTCTAAGGGTAGCTGTTCACGCACGAAGATTCATTTTTATAAATAGCGCCTAAATTTTATTATAAGGAGCAATTATTTTAATGGTTGATTTTGCTATTTTTCAAATCAAGGCGTTTTTCTCTCTCAATATACTTTGAGTAGTGAGAACAGATTTTTATTGTCTCCTGTGTCAAGTGCCGTATAATGGTGAACTAGGGGATGAATCCGGGTTTGCGCACTTTCCGGTAATCGATATTCAATAAAATTCCGGTATTCAATAAAACTTGGTAATTATATATAATTCCACGTACATTTGAGGTCGGTTTTTTGAGTACTCTATACTGAGATTATTTTCCATCCTCTAAGGTTCGTTCCGTCACTTTGTATCATAAAAAAAAAGAAATTTAAAATTAGTAGGTAATTAAGCTCATAACGTTACAAGAAAAGAGTTTGTGATCACTTTCAATAACATCTTGTTTATATCAATTGTTTTTTCTATGTGATGTAAATGGAGAATGCGTCGCTTCAATTCGATTTTTCCATATCATAGATATAGAAAAAAGGTGTTCATATAGAAAGGATCGATGTCAGTAGAATAACAACTACAGAGCTGTGATTTATAGAGCAAACGTGGAGATAAGCATGAAGAAAGGCCGACCTTGACGTACATATCTCAACAAGATTGAGGATGTCCTTCAAAAAGGTCAGGCCAAAAGTACCAATAACAAACGGCCGTGTGCGAAAAGACGGATGCGAGTGGAAGATACGAAAGAGATATGTCGGCTACGTAGCGAATGAAGGATAATAGACTGACTTATGATATGTATAATGAGGAGAGACCGGTATACGCAGAAGCCGATATACGTAGATTTCTAGAAAATTATATATACACTAATGGACATTTTCAGAGGAACGCTAAAAATCGTTTGAATTATCATAACAACGTTCACGCGAACCAATAACCACATATACCAGAACGTATAACCGAAATCAAAAGGCGATTAGAGAAACAAGTAACACTTTAAATCGCAAAGATCTTATGTGCACTGTCACTGCGCCCGTCACCCTGAGACATAAGTTGACAAGTCCCGTGTGCCGATAATTTCACCAGCACTCTTACCCTTCAAAACTGGAACGCAGTAATGCTAACATTACTCCTTGACAACAGAAATAGGCAAGGTGACAGTACTTCCCTGGACGAACTCTTTCACTAGGAGCTCTACTGCTACTAAATACTAAAAAATATAAAAAAAAATTAAAAAGTGTTAAAAGAATAACAAAAGAACAAAAAATAACATATTATTTTACGAAAAATCGTGATGGACACATCAATAATGTGAGGAAGAAAAAAGAAAATTATAATTACACGTTAGCGAACGTGTCATTGCCGCATCTAGTACGCTCTGCTGCGTCGTATATCTGTGTTCGCTTGTGTTTTGTATATCTACATATTTTTTATTGGCTATTTATGTTAGCATGCTTAATTTGTTTTGTAAGTTTGAATCAGTTAAGTTTCTCAGTAAGAGAATATGTAATTCTTATGAGAAGCATTCTTTAACCATCAAATTAAACCTGTTATTTTTGACAGACGTCTTCACAAAGTCACAAATTTATATGGTAATGTGTATTCTGGCATAAGAAGATTCCGGTTGGTGCACAAAATTACCCATTTATGATGTTTAATATTACTTATGGTGAAACAAAATCTTTATATTAAAGGTTAGATAACGAAACTTCGTGGTAGTGACTCATCTAGCTCTTTCGGGTTTTCTCGGTCTAATGATAAATGTATACAATAATGTTTATTTATAAAAAGGAACCCCTAGAATGAGTAATAGAGTTTAATCAATGTGACGTTTTTAAGTTATAATTCGCTTATCGAATTACACAATTTGAATTTAAAATTGGAACTACAAAATATTCACAGCGGTTATGGCAATGCATGAGATCAAATAGCTTCTTTCTTCTCGTTCTTTTACGAAAAAGACGTCCTTTAGTGAAAAAATCGAAATAAAATAATGCCTTTTTTAGATTTTGTGGCAAAGCAGAAACAATTGCAAATTTAGAAATTGCAACACTTTAAAATTGCATAAATCAACAAGCAATAAAAAAAGTTTTTACAACCAAAGTTTACGAAATTCACAAGCACGCAAAATCAACCACGAACCACTCGACGAACATTATACCTAGTGACGGGACGAACAAGTCGTGCCCCTGCTGGTAAGCGACACGTCTGTCCATAGCAGTTGCATTGTCATTTAGCGCTTTACATCGCAAAGATCTGAGAGGCACTGCCATTGCACCCGTCAGCAAACATAAGTCTCATGTGCCTGCAATTTCACCATCACTCTTTAAAACTGGAACGCAGTAATGGTCGCATTACTGTTTGGCGGCAAAAACGGCGGTAATGTTGCTCAACTACAACTTCCAACAAATTAGTGAAAAAATGACCTAAAATAAAAAAAGTGAATTAACTGGCAAATAAAAAAAACTACTGCATTATTTTGGTGTTTTTACTAATGTTTCGCAAAATACCTGTCCGAGAAACATATTATACCGAAAAAAAAATAAAATTCAGATTCTGAGCGACATTTTTTAATCCTATAAATCCACACCGATTGAATTCATGCTCCCCATCGCTCTCGAGATTTCATTAAAACTCAATAAAAGTTCACAAAAATCTGATCATATATATTTTATCTTCAAAATATATTTCATCTTTCATCATCAAATTATTGTTTTCCGCTTACTTACATAACGTAAAAGTTTTTGAGAAAATTGTTTTTTAAGCAATCTGCGTCATGCGGCCCAGCACTACTACGGGAACCAATTTCGGTAGATGAACTTTTTCTATTGATTTTTTTAATAGACGAACGCTAATCTTAATTTTAGTAGCAGTAGCGCTCTTTACATATTTCTGCCGCCAAGCAGTAATGCGTTCGGGTTTTGAATAGTGCTGGCAAAATTTCATTTGTTAACTTATGCCTCTGGGTGACAGGCGCTGTGGCTGTGCCCCTCAGATCTTTGCACTGCAACTGTCATGCATAGGCGTGACGACTTGTTCGTCCTGCCACCTAGTATCATAAAATACTGAAGTGTAGCGATGATGTAACAAAGATCTAACACAAAAAACGGTTCCATCTGACAAAACTCCAACCAGTGTCTGTCTTGCCAATCCAGGGCAATAACTATACCAACTGAGTAGACTTCACGAATCTCCGTATGCTTTAGTTACAGACCTTTGTTCTTGGTCTTTATTGGCTTTTTTTACGCAATTGTCTAGTAAATACCAATTCACTTTAGCCTTTTTCTCGTGGATAGGCTAGACGCGCGATTCGCGATTCGCGGTAACACAGAAGACGGTATTTTACTTTTTACTTTTCACCGACTTCATAAAAAGAAGGATGTTTTTAATTCGACTCTATTTTTTGTAAGTATTTAAATTTGAAGAAAATATTCCACCTCTAAGGATGAATCCGGTTTCGAGCACTTTCCGTTAATTAATTTTAATAAAACTTTGCAAATAGATGAAACTCCGCGAACTTTTGAAGTCGGTTTTTTTATGCATTTAATGTAGCTTCAGTTTTTAAGCATTAATTGCATTTTTTCGCAATTTTGATTGCAGATCTATACTACGGTATTGAAAACAAAAAGAACTGTTATATCATTATTGTTTACGGGCCATTCTATGTTCAGTGCTCCAGGTATATATGAAAAAGAGATTTATATATTACAAGCCTCAGTGGCCTAACGGTTGCACTGTGAGCACTGCATGTAAAGGTCCCGGGTTAGATTCTTGGTAGGAAAAATTTGGGTAATTAGCTTTCGGACTTGGTTGGGAATTTCCTAGTTTGAGATAAGTTAATTGGTGATGTTATCTGCTAAATTATGAATATATACAAGCTTTGTATTTACATATATACTGTAGATGTTTGTAGAAACATTTAAATTCAAAGAAAACCCAAATTTTAATTCATGACAATGGATTTTGTGTAAATGAAACAACTTGGACTTGTTTTCGTCTTTCAAAGTCGAAAAGTTACTTATTTTAAAAAACATAAATTCTTACCTTACCAAGATAAACGTTTGTTTAGGATTTTTTATTTGACAAGTTCTGCGTTACGAAAACAATTCCCATCAAACTTTGCCTTTAATTAACTCGAATGAAGTCGAGAAGTGAAGATAATTTTGTTGAGAACTCTCGACAAATTCGTCTACTTTGTTTTTGGACAGCTGTTATTATTTTACGAAAATTATTTATTACCCTCCAAATTGTATTAAAATTGCTTCCTGTAGAGTAGGTACATATTTTGTCTTGCACTAAACTTAAGAACGTATTAAACCAATACTTATATTGAATTGAAAGAATGCGCTATGTGTTACACGAAAGGATGTGGAGTAGAGCTCCTTGTGAAAGAGTTCGTCCAGGGAAGCACTGCCAGTTACCTATTTCTGCCGCCAAGCAGTAATGTCAGCATTACTGTGTTACGGTTTTGAAGGGAAAGGGTGCATGGTAAAATTACAGGCACGTGGGACTTGTCAACTTATGTCCCAGGGTGACGGGCGCAGTGGCAGTGCCCCTCAGATTTTTGCGATTTAAAGCTCTGAGTGGCACTGCAACTGTTATGGACATGTATCTATATATATAATTTGAATTGATTGATGAGAGGAAAATCTAAACCAAGCACCGTCCTATCTAGCTTTCATAACAGTAATAGCGATTACCACCAACCAGCGGGTTATGGCTGTAAAAATCGATAAGATGACATTTTCATACTTAGCATAGAACTTACTGTATAGAATCGTGATGTCGCTGCTTGCTGCCTCGCCGGTACAAAGTTCCAGCTGCAGCAGCCGCAGCTAATAGGGCCAGTGCAGCAGCCGCGCAGCCACCAGCCGCGAAGAGAATCCCGCCGGAGGTTCTAGACGCGTCGCCGGCTAATCGCGCTGTGTCATTTTGTGTGACAACTGTTGAGTGGCCTATAGAAAGATAAATCTATTAAATTTTTTAAATAATTTACAATGATAAAAACAAGTGGAGTATTTTCATTAAAATAAATGAATAGCGGGCTTCACACACACTCGCGTATCGCGCGTAATACAGCAATCGAAGACGATTGAGCACGTGTGTAAAGATGTTGGAAGGAAAAAGGATAGACCGCGCAATTGCGCTCTATGGACTGGACTGCGCCAGTCTCACAGTGCGCGGTCTATCCGGCTGTATTAGCCTTTACACTGTTGTAACAAAAAAGAACACGACCAGTCGCGCGCGAATGAACGTTAGCTTAAGGGCGACCAAATTTTTAGTGATGTTTTATCTTTCGACTCAGTTACGCGATGGATTCTGACGAAGAAACATTACTTTTACCTAGTTCTTGGGGCACACATTTCCCATACAGGTATTAAAAATGTCTCACCTGCTATGTTTTTTCACTTGTAGTTTCAGTTTCAAAATTGTCAATAAATTTTAGATATAAATTTTCTAATGCCTTTTTTATCCAGTCGATTGGAATAATTGGCGGAACTGCTATCCCATATTGCGGGGTATTGTCTTACATTCTCTATAAATTCTTCAATTCAATTTTCATTTAATCGTGGTTAATTTGAAAAATTAACATGTACACCACACTAACCGTAACTGCTACCGAGCGTGACTGCAGCGCGACAGCCGCGCGGCCGCCGCGCTGTTGCAGCGCTTCTAGAAATTGTATAAAAAGTAACAGTGGTACGGCCGCCGCGCGACTGCTGCGCGCAACACTGCTGCAGCGCGTCTAACAGCGGCTAATTTGAACGCACCCTTAAAAGATTTTAAACAGGTAAGCGCACTCGATTGCGCGTGCAGGCATTCCCGCGCACAATCCTGTACGCTCTTGATCACGCGCGATAGAGTGAATGTGTGAAGGGGGCTTATTATCATGATAGTGAAAACATCATGATATTCATTAAAAATAAACATTGCAATTAATATAGCTACACTTAAACAAGAAGAACAATATACTAGAAAGCTAATCGATAATCTGTTATTTGTATAAAAGAAATAATATAAACATATATGCATAATAAACTTACACACATATATATATTATATGTATAGTATATGTATATATATAAATATATGTTTTAATAATAAATAATATAATATAATTATATACCCAAAGCAACTTTATACAGAGTATTGATTTTAACAATTGTCAAACAGATGCTTGCGCAACATGCGTTTGAACGATAATTTGGTCTGAGCTTGTCTCAGATGGAGTGGGAGCGCGTACCAAAGACGGATTGCATGAAAGGTAAAAGAATTAGACAAAAATCAGTGCTGTGAGAAGAAATACAGACCTTAAGGCTACGGGAAGATCGAAATTCGCATCCCGGCCGAGTGACTTGAAATTGAAATAGACATTTAAGATAATCAGGTGCAGCCGGGTCGAACAAGATAGAGAAAAGAGTGGTAAAAATTCTTAAGGACTTGCGTTCATCGATGGGAAGCCAATTTAGTTGACGACGAAAAGCCGAGTAGTGGTCATACTTCAGCAGACCTTAAACAAACCTAATGCAGTTGTTAAGAAGACGATCTAATCTGTTCATAGAGACTTGAGAGATGTTACTGTAACATACACACACGTCAGCATAATCAATCACAGGCAACACTAGAGCTTGAAGAAGGAGAGTTTTGATTTTAATGGGAAAACCTGTACAGAGCTCTTAGTGTGTCTGAAACCCTACGACAAACGTTTTTGTAACAATAAATCTCTCAGTCTATTTTCAAACAGTGTTATGGCAGTAATAATCTTAAATTCTACTGGTAATTTATTAAACAATTTCACGGACTGATATTGAGGGCAATTCAATAAAACAAATACTTAGAAAAAATGGTGTCTGGAAAAATTGCTATTTAGCATTAAGACCGCACATTATACGTAAACTAATATTGTTATTCTTATGAATATAACGTATAATAGAATAACTTTCACTGAGTTTGCGAAGTAGCAAAACAGTGTACTTCCATTTTTATTAACTTGGATTTACGTAAATTAACGCTTGAATCAAATGATTGTAAAATAACATTTGAAAAAAAAAATTATTATTTATATTTCCACTCATAACTCTAGTACCAACGTATGTATTTGCATTTAGGTGTGCAAAATTCGTCTTCGTGCTTACTAACAAATATGATTATACTTTTAAATCATTACCTATTAATGCAAAATCCCTTTCTCAACTGAATATTATCACATAAATCCTACTAAATAAAACACTGGGTAATAGACAAACTTTCGCCGAAAAAAGGGGAGGTGTAATGGGAATGTAATGAGACAGGCTCTTTTTTATTACACACTGCCCCATCCACCCCTACAAAGAAAATAAGCGTATTTGACTAGGTTTCTAAAATTTTCTATTTTTAACCCCCGACGCAAAAAAGGGATGCTATAAGTTTAAAGTTTTTGTGTATCTGTATGTTTATCTATATATATGTGTCTGTGGCATTACCTTTCAAACGGATGGACTGCTTTTTGACATTACTTTCTTTTGAAGGTTAATTTAATAGCATTGATTCTTAGCTATAGCTACGCCCGATACCCTGAGACATAAGTTGACAATTCCCATAGGCATATGGGAATTGTCAACTTATGTATTTTTACGCCATGCCATGCCGGATTTAAGTGCCATTAAGATAGAATATTATTTCTACGAATTGTGTTTCAGATTTATCTTCCTTTTCTAATGCCGTTAAACCATACTCTGGGTATATTTTAAAGTCACACGTGGTCATAATATACCAAAACAGCTTTCATCGCTTGTGAAAGAGAGGGAGAGTGATCAGGTGATCTCCACTTGAAATAATTAGTAGATTGTCCATGTTTTTAACCGAATGTCGAACAATCAACAACCCCTGAGGATGTATAAGGTATAAGGGTACATTTTTGGTGGTGGTGTCGGCGACTATAGTTGCGCTTGTGTTATTTATTTTACTCATTTTATGCGGAGGGAGGGTGGAAAAATTAATAATAACGCACACACTCAACACATATTAATGAAAACATATTTAACACAAACGCTGCTATTTTGCTCGATTTAACTTCACTGGGTTCGCAGAGTAGCTAATTAATATACTTCCATTTTTATTTGAAAAAAATATGTGTACGTGAAATTTTACAAGTCACCCATTTAAACATATTACGTATGTGCAAAAATTATCGATTAATTTCGTTCGTAGAGTCTTTGTACCCCTTTCCTGAAAAATTGTTATTTGCAGATATGACCTTGTTACTCCAAGAATGCGAAATATAGGTTTTGAAAGTAATCAACACTATATAGGGTGAAAATTTATTTATTAGAAAAATAAAATGATCGCACCTGTCGCTATGAATAACTAGACCCCTATCACGCCAATAAAGTTCAAAGTGAATAGGTAGAGTAATAGGAAGAGGTTGATACGATTATTAAGTCCAAAGATATGAAGATTCAAACAGTCAATAGCAAAGTTAGTTATACCAATGATCCGTACATTTTTAACATAAAACCTTCAAATTAAGCATTTACCGATCGTAGATAAAACAGGTTCCTAATAAATTTATGGGCCATATTAAATATATGGGTCTTAATCATATTCTGTAGAAAGTAATTAATGCAAATAATAAAAAAAGAAAATTAAATTTAATATAGGCGCAACGATAGGAACTTAAACCCGGGTATTAAAAGAGTAATTAAAAATCAATTTGTTGGAAGAATTGCCTTCGAGAAAATTTTATGCTTTACAAGTAGGTAGGTAAGACTGAAAATATATAATTATCAACATTTTTTACCATTCTTACTTGACTGTTCACGTCTTTATGAATCAACAAAGTTGGTAAAGACGGAATTAAGTGCATCTTTTAACCATATTTGCAATTTGTATTATTTCGCTATTATACATACTCTCACTTTTTCGCTCACACTCAAGTGCACGTACACGTACATGCACACGGACACGGACACGCACACTTGTGCTTGCACGAGTGTACTTCTAGGTACACTCTCTCACAACATGTACCACCTCGCACTATAATAACCTGTTTCATAGATTTCTCACAAATGGCACCACAACAAAAAAGTCATTAAAAACCAAAAATAAAGATCTGTAACACGCACATAGAAAAACTCGTAAGGTCCCCTAGTTCGTTTCGTGTTGGCATCTTACATGGTTTGCTAGAAGAAGTTGAACGAAGGATTTTTTATTAGTGATCGATCTTTGTATTAATAATTATTACAAACCAATGGAGAAATTTAACAAAAAAAAATATCATGGTGGTTAATCATCGTGACTTTCAATAAAGTAAAAAAAACCTAATTTTAAATCATTTTTGAGCAACGAGTATATAACCAGAAATAGAAACGAAATGTCATTTAATTTGTTTGAAATTATTCTGCCAAATCATTACTGTGACAACTGCGTTCCGATTGGCCAGCCCGAAATCGAAACAATTGACTAATGTCGTCAATTCTTTCACTTCAAATTAACCAGTTTAACTTAAGCTTTGCTATAATGGATGAAAATTGCAAAATTACATATTTAATATTTAATTACCGATGAAATGTGATTCCGTTTGTTTTGTAATTAGATGTTTTGCTGTTTTTCCCACACCACGGGATGGAACAGCCCCCTTTGTTAGAGATATTATCTTTATTACAGTAAATACAGAATATTTTTGGAATATACGGAGACGCACACACAGGTCAGTTGTTGGCGCTGTACTATTTCAATTTTCTAATTTGTGATTTCAGCGCAAACGAGAGTTGATATTTATTTAAAAGTAATATAAGGCCCATTTACCTGATGAGTTGCCAGGGAAGGATGGCACTAATTTCAACTCTATTTCTGGTTATATACTACATGTTTTTAAGTTAAACCAATTATACTGGTGATTTCTGTATTGTAATGAGGAACAGCGGAACTATTGATTATTGATATTGACCGACCGCTTAGACACGGTAATACGCAA